TCTCGCCAGCTGGCTCCTCAAGTTCTTCAGGTTCTCAAACAGCTGCTGGCCACTCACCAGACAAACATTGCTTTGGTAGTGAATATAGAGTTCTTCCGGATGCAATTCGGGCGATAAATCCGGCCGGGGGTTGTGTTGGCTCTGGCATTTGATGCCCGTGATATTTTCGCTGTGAAATTGCTCCTCGAACAATAAGTCGCCACTTTCTGTGTAGAAGCGCACGTAACCAGAGTCAAAACCTATAGAAAACTTGGTTTTAATTATGAAAAAGTGTGTTAAAAACGCGAATTGTGATTATATTATGTTGAAAAATTATGTTTTGTTTTCAGATGGCCTGCGGTTCGGACTGAAGTCAGCAAATTGGTCTGAGTAGTGGGTGAGTGCGATTCATATTATTGGTCAAAAGATATATGTAATATTAGTATTTAGGTACGATATTTTACTGCCTGCTTATACAGAGGGTTCCAATTTGGTTCCTTCCAATTGGCGTTCTTAGAAATATTTAAAAAAGTTTATAAGAATAAGGATCGGGGTTTTGTTATCAACGCAACCACGTATAGTTTACATGTGTGTTCACATTAGCGCAAACAAAACAATAAATATAAAGCTTCAGAATCTCAGACTGGTTTTGTCGACTTTTAAAGTCATCTGTTGGTGCGTTTCCGATTATCCGATAGACGATCGATTTCTGTCAGTGTTTTGACCAAATATCGAAGAAACTTGTAGCGGATCAGGCACGGCTCGGGCTCGGCTCGTTAGGTCTAGACTCGGGTTTACAATTTTGATCTGGAAATGACGTGGGTGTAACGTCATTTTCTGACGTCAAATTTGTAGATAATTTCTGACGTCTTGTTGACATCAGAATTAAACTGTTGCAGAGTGCAGAAAAAGAAAAATTGTGACAGAACATAAGTGAATTGAAGTAAGTAAGTATAACATATTATTATTCAAGCCAGATCAAGAAATTTGGACTGAAAATTCTGCAAACGTATACAACATTTCGAGTGAAGTATGGTTCCGGCGTTTGTCAGCGGTCAAAAAACAAAGCTGCCAAATATGTCAGATTTTCACATATGTAGTTTTAGGGAGTCTTGTAACTTTTTGCAATAATGTATAACTATAAAATCAGTGTTTTTGTCAATAAGACATTTATTTCGAGGTCAAGATTTGTCGTCATTTAGCATGTGACATTGTGAAGTTATAATAACGACAATTTAACGTCAGTGAACTGACGTTAGTCTGGCATTAGCTGCCCAAAAATTGAGGTTAAAAGGACGTCAGCCTGCTACCTAGTTATTATGTCTGGACTAATACTTGAAATTGAAACTTATAACAACGCGAGAGCCGACTATTGGACGCTCCGAAACTGCAAGCGCCCATGTGACTTAAAAAATGAGATTGTTGTTGATAGAAGTTGTGGCAGTTTGAGTGACGATATTATTTGAACAGGAAAGATAAATGCGACGGTGTTTGCGAAATTAAGAAAATACCGATATTGAATACTCGGTTTTTTTCAAACATCTAGACAATTGCTTGTGTTTCCTTTCATTTGAGTATTTTCTGTTTTGCTTGAGCTTTAAAGACCTTTAACCGCAAAGAACGGTTTTTCACAACTACCAAGAGAATACTTGACTCTGAAATAATTGCTCTTAAACCCATCGGCTTTCAGTGCCTTCATCTATGTGTTAAACTAAACTATCGATTTGCGAATGCGCATACCTAAAACAGTACAGATCCAATCAGGTCCCACGTGTGAACTGTGACTTTCCCCCACAATTGGGAGACAAAGGGCGGCTTTCACCTTATCATAGTCGTGAATGGAATCAGCAAAATTGATCTGAAACAGACTCCTTGATAAAGTTGAGTCCCATTTTGAGCTTAGGATGACCAGTCTCCTCTCATTGGCTATCGCCAACACATCGCCTGTCGGTGAGGCTGCTATGTGGCAGGTTTGAAGCCAGGACTCTGTACCTGATGAAAAGATATTGGTATAAGAGAGAACGTATTAAGTTTTAGGGGTAGTAACATTTGCGCTTATAGCGACCCGTTCAAAAATGCATTGCGAACAGTTGCAAATATTGGTTTTGATAGGAATTATCTATAAAAAAGCATAAAGTGCCCTAAGAGCTGTAAGTCCAAGCTCTAAGCTATAGCTTGCCCTAGTGGCACTTAATGCTACCTCTGTGGTCATCAGTCGGAAATAAGCATCTTCGGATGCTCGGAATATCTTGTATGGTAGCTGTCACGCGAATTTCACAGGACATTTTGTTTAAGCAGGCCGTCTTCCTGACGAATTTCTGTTTTAATTCATCAAACAATCATTTAAATACGGTTAAATCCAAAGGTTTTCAAGAGTTTGTAGCTAAACAATGCCAACGTCAAACACAGCTGATTTGTGTAAGCTTGACAGATCTGAGTCAGCTGTAAYTTGTAATAAAGAAAGCGCAAAATGCCAAACGGTAGTGAGACAAAGATAAAAATAATAACAATGTTGTTTACCTGATCTAGAATTYCAGGAAATAGGCGCAGTAGTAGCAAATATATATCGGTRAAATTCAAAAMGAAAAAATCACGCAAAATATRCATTTGGCAAATGCGCGAAATTTTTGCAACTATATCGCAAAGGCTTGGACGTCTTGATTTGCCCATGGAAAAGTAGTGAATATCAAACTTTCAAAGTAGCGAAAAACGMATTTTTTAAGAAAAGTTAAGGCTAGTGGTCGGTTTCGACTGTATCAGTCCCCTCGAATTCGWAGTTAATCATTGACTCGTGGTATAGTTAATCCCTGAACTAACAACTTTTTWGTGGTATTTCTTGTCGAAATGCGACTTTCGACTCATTGAAATTCATTGATTTTCCATAAGAATGAAAGTCGCCATAACGTCCACGCTGTGCGTCACACGGGTGTCAGGGCGCACAGTGTCATATTTTGGTTTTTCTTGTAAAATCAAACAACTTTTGATSTAATTAATGAATCGTGGTGATCGTGATTGAAAAAATCAYGACGATTCCTCGATTAGATCAAAAGTAATTTGATTTTAACACAAAAAAAAMCAAAATGTGACAGTGTGGCGGCTGTTCACACAGAACACCTCTGAACAGTTTGTTCAGACGTGTTYTGTGGCACAGAGTAGTAAATATCGCGTATTTGCCAAATCTATATTTTGCTTRTACCTACTTRAGTTTTTTAGACACATTTTGTAGTTCTGAATATAACAGATCCGATAATCAARGTTTAGTGGGTATTTCGAATAGTTTCGGCTAGTTTTGAGTAGTATTGAGTACCTGCTTTTGTTTAAAATCTATATTTGATTTTTTCTTAAACATGTTTCATAGACATATGGGTTAATTTTGGTAATTTGTTTTTAGTTTTTGGGTAGTTTGGTTAGTATTCGTTGTTGGCTGTTTTTTTTTATGGTCTTAAGGCAGCTATTTACCCTCAAAACGGGACTTTAGCAACCGCAGTAAAGCATCCGCATAATGAGAGTTAGAAGCACAAACTGCGTTGGCGTTCTTTGTAATCTTATAGCAAAGAAGTGAATTTCAATTAGTAAAAAGTGGCAGGAAGCCGCATTTCCACAAGAAACACCAAAAGGCAAAGTCGTTAGTAAAAAGATTATCTAGAACAAGAGCATGTTGTTAAATTCGAACACGTTTGGGCCTCAAACTAGTGAATTTTTATATTTTTCATGTGGGCAACAGTGGCAACCTGTGGTGGCAACTATCCATACGTTTTCTTTTTGTAAACAATCTGACATTCTAGGGTTATGTGTACTGATAGCAGAGACTGATAGACTCTGCTGATAGCAAAGTTCAAGTTTGAAAATTTTATGTTTTAATTATAATCTACGTCATTGTACAATTATCCTCTTTTAAAAGTGGTTTGCAATTTTCGTCCAAAAATGTCCCTTTCCAAGCCCATTATCAGTGTCCTTAGCTTTTATTTTGGCCAATTATATGAGCATCCTTTGAGGACCAAAGCAGTTAGCTGGTAAGGCAGCTTATTACACCATAATTAAGAAAATATTGTTTCAAAGTCTTAGGACGTTTGCTTTATCAGACGTAAAGTTTTTTACTTTATTAACGTTCGAACTCTGTCTTTTTTTTCTGTTTCTGAAGACGAAAAATACTAATCGCAAATTTCAGTTGCATGGTGGCCTTAGCTGGAAATTATGCATCCCAAAAGATTAGTGGGACCAAAATACTCAACATTCACACATTGGCTGCGTATGGCACCTTTGGGTAGGTGTATTTTAAATAAGTCTAATCACTTGCTCAAATATTCACGAATAAATGCGATTGCATGTAATTCATTCTTTAGACTGCTATTCGGTGGCTCCTTACCCCACTTTTTCTACAAGTTCTTAGAGCATGCAGTGCCAGATGAAGCCTCCTTTGCCATCGCAAAACGGCTCATATTAGAAAGGCTGGTTTACTCTCCCCTATACCAGGTATTTTCTGTTTCATTGCGGATTATAGTCAATAATCAAAGATTTTTAGGCCTTTTCGTTATATGCATTGGCAAGGCTCGAGGGCAAAGACCACGAAACGGCTGTTCAACAGCTGAAAGGCTTGTACTGGCTAGTGCTCACCTCCAGCTGGAAATACTTGACTATTTTGCAACTTCTTAATTTGAGCGTGGTTCCTCCAATGGTTGGTTTCGGTTGATTACTTAAGACTTTTTTCTTAAACAATTATTTTTTTAGTTGAGAGTTCTGGTAGTCAATTTAATAGGGTTCTTCTGGATCATATACCTGGCGAACAAAAGACGCCAACAGGAACTAACAAAATCCAAATAAAACTGAGACTGTTGTGTGTTACTAATGCATCTAATGCATGAATAGGTGTTGGAGTAATATGTGTCAAAAGTTGTTCATTTCGTTCTTTTAATGCTAATGAACTTTTATATTAGTAGCTGTGAAGGTTAAATAAATTTATTTTTATTTAATCAACTGGGCTTATTTGCGGCTGCTGCTTCGAGTTGAAAATAAAAAACAACTTTAAAAAACTAATTTTATATTTCAATTTACAATAAATGTTTTTCTGCCAGTATCAACTATTAAATATATAGGTTTATAAATTGAACATGGTACATAATAACAGAAACATTAATAATAACAATAATAAGTATTGTAAAACTGGTATGCAAAGTCACTTTTCAATTAAGGAAGAATTATATTAAGTAATCAAGAATAGTTAGTTATCAGCGGGTCTTCTAGGGTATTTAAAACGAAATACCATTAAAACTAATAACAAAATTCACCTAAAAGGCCATTGTACTACGTCAAAGGACTTGCTCATAAAATAATAAAATTGCCTAGTTTCATCAGAAGGAAAATGTTACAAAATTGAAAATAAGTTATTAAGCATATTGGTATAGAAGCAGATTTTATCTCTGAAAACGTATTATAAAATACAACTAATACATTTATTTTACCGCGGAATCGTTAGTACTGAAGTACTGTTGGCTCATTGGTCGAAACAACGAAAACATGTACTTATAAGCCTGAGTAGTTGCTCGAATTGCCAACACTTCTAGAAGAAAGCAAGTTTCTTTTAATTTCATCTTCTTGCTGATCCCTGGAACCATTTAATATTTTTGCGCTTAAGAAAACTACATTTAACCAAAAACTCACTTAAAAAACGCCAAGTGTTGTTCCAACAAAAAGCGATTACTACAGTGGGTTAATTCGGGCCAATGGGCGATTACTCTACGCAGATACATTTGCAACCGCTTGCGGCGCTCTTCTACCAACGAACTCTCCTGAAACACTCCAATTACTCTTAGGAACATAGAAGTTGAGAGCATACCTTTTTTCCTATGCTTTTTTTCGGTGGAAAATCGAACGTGCTTACTGCAGGATCCAACTTTTTCAAGTCGGAATGCAAAGCGTGAAATTGAGCGTATCTTCGGTAGATGTTCCATTCGTCGTTGCCTACTCTTAAGAATATTTGGTACACGTGATGGGAATTAGAACCCGAACCTTTAAAAAACAAGTTATGTAGATGACAACAGTTTACATTATAAGAAAGATAAGGCTGAACCGGTTAGTCATCTGCGGAAAGTCCAGAATTGTGAGTTTTTGTAATTTACCTGTTAAAAATGCCGAAGGAATCCATACATTGACACAGCCGGGTTCTGCATCGTATTCTAACTCATCCACCGACATGGGACCTCTAAGTGCCTCAAATTCCCTTTTAAGGCGATCCAAAACGGTGTCTTTCTGGAGCAAGGTTTTCTGTAGCATTACGTTGAAATCCATCAACTCGGCATGCATTTCAGCCACCTAAAAGTGTCAGGTTTGCGATTACTTTGCTCTAACACCGGATCTATTTCAATACCTGTATGAGCTTCTGCTCGTACATTTTAGCCTCATCTTTGTAATCGGGCGGAGATTCGGCTTCAATCCCGTCCAATTGCTGATGCATGCCTTGGTCGTCGCGTTTCAACATCTGAATCGCGCTCATATACTTAGTAAGTTGATTCTTTAAGGCCTCGTTTTCCTTGGATAAGCGCACTATGCGATCATCTCTGAAAATGAGCCAAATTAAATATTTTAACTTCCAATTAGATTCCAAAGGGAGGATATAAATAAGTTTTTTCTGAACCGATAGACTTTGCTGCTGTACTCCGTATCCGCCAAAAATGTCCATTCCCTATACAAACGCGTGATCGGGGTCTCGGAATGGTATAGTAAAATAAGCCATTTTTATATATTTTCGTTCCCGCATACATATTGGTGACCAGTCATGAATCCGTGTGAGAATCGAAAATTGTTCCGTGGCCCTACGAACAAATGAAGAACAGAAAGAAAAATGCATTAAACATGCCGCATTTAGCATTGAAAGAATTACACAGAAGAATGAACAAGAATACAGAATAATTAAGTTCATATAAGCTCTAAAACGGTCCATAGGTACTTTAATATTGAAATGCGGTTAAAACGGAAATGTTGCTATATTCGAAATATTTTTCCCACCGGCACAACATTTCCAGAGAAAAATCCGGAAAGTCCTTTTAAAACGAAACACCAAGGGATCTTTAATTATTCGCGCGCATAAAATTGCTGGTCTTCAAGTGATCTCATTTCAAAGTTTCGTGCTTCCTGTACAACATTAAACGTTAACGAAAACATTAACGAGTCAAATATTCATAACCGTTTTGAAACTAGGAATGTTCAAATTGTATCAAAATAACATGCGCGTTTTGCTATACTCAAACAAATGTTCTGTTTTCACGAAATAATTACCTTCTTTTAATCTCTTCTTGATTCCTATTCTCGACCACAGTTAACACGGCGGAAATATCGGTTGGTACTTCCAAAATATCATCCGATGTGTCAGGAGATTCCCTAAGATCTGAAATCTACTTGGAGGACTTCTTGGATAATTAAAAGCATCTCAGGCTTACCCCGAATCCTCTCTACAGAAACCGGAGTTAACTCCCCAATACTGTTCTGGTTAATTGGCGTCAAACTTCCCGGAACATTTGAAGAAAACTTTTCTCTTGAGCCACTGTTTTCTATTGACAACTGTCTGCCTGTTTTCGGCTTTTCCGCATCTTTGGCACTAGGAATACTATTCGTTGCAGCATGTTTATTGTCCATAGTCTTTTTACTGTCCGAATCTTCAACCAATCGCTGCTTGCCTATACTACTACTGTCTGAGCACGTGCTGCTGCTAGAAATCGACGGAACGCTGGTAGACAACATGCTGTCGTCTTCGTCGAATGATATGATCTGTCTAGCCACTTTACGTCTGCTTTTATTGTCTTTTCGGTCTTTATTACCTGGAACATAGAGCCGTAACAAACAGTTTGCGAAAAAAAACTCGAAAATACCTGGAATTGGAACCTTAATCACAGGCTCTTCTCGATGTCCGACCAGCATGGGCCTGGGTACGATTGAAGTGTTGAACTCGACTTTATCAATGCTTATTGCAAACAATATAGAGCCGAGCCCTAAAACAATTGGTGGTTGCTCTGGTTAACTTCAGTAAAAAAGAACTTACCTGCCGCCATGTTCGGCAGCATGCTGTTTCTGTCTTCATCGCGAAGCAGAGCCCAAGACTCATAATGTTCTTTAAGGATGAGTTTGTCGCTTAGAACTATGTGGAAATACCTAGAGCGAAATGTGGCTTTGAAAAGTCATCATCGGAGATCGCAAGATGTTTGTTAAGATCTAAGAATGGTATAACGAGAATGCGTAATTCTGGGGTGTTTTAGTTAAAATACGAACTAGCCGGAACTATAGAATCTTTTATGTAAAACGCGGTTCTAGCATAATTCTGTGATGTTAATTTAGTCAATCATGCAGCCCCAACCCACCTTTCTAGGGACTTCTCATTTAAGGCAGATCGAACCCAAGCCTTGCACTTGCCGATATCAGTCCAAATATTCTTCAGAATATTGAACCGCTCGTTTTCATGGTTTGTGAGGTGGTTCTCCACAAAAGTCCAAAATGCTAGGATAGGAAACATTATTTCAAACAGTGAGACAGAATTTTCCGGTTTTTATACTTGGATTCAATTAATTAAATAAGCTTGAAATTAGAGCATTAGAGCAGAGATTTTAACATGATTTTTGCTAAACACAAGATAAAGGTTTCTCTCGTTAATCCTAGATTAATGTTTTAGTGCTTACCTATGCTTTCTTGGCGGATATGTAAACTTTGAGCAACAATATCAGATACCTGCTTCAGAGCTGAATTAACCTGGTTTTGGCTGGAAAATGATTTGGTTCTCAAGCCGTGAAGGAAAACGCCTTCAAGGCACAAGCAAAGCCCTGCCACACATGAATCAAACTCGGTTGCTAGCTCGTTTTTTCCGCCATATCTAATAACAAAAGACGGGTTTTTAATTTGATTTCATAACATTCCTGTAGATGAATGAAGTTGAAACCACTTGCATGCTGTTGCTTACAATAGAGCGAAAGTAAATTACGTCAATCAAGGTTGTCCGTGCGATGGAAATTTCGATTTTTTGCGATAAGTAGGAACTGTCTATGACTATGCTGATAGATTTAGAAGAAAATTCTCACCACAACTTAGAGTTGGAAGAAGAGATCTTGTCTTTGCATGTCTTACATCCAATATCGGCAATAGTTTTTGTTTCATATACATTTTCAGGCGTTCAATACCTTTGAAATTTTTTGTACTAAACGGATTCTAGTATTAATGGAACATTGACAACATGATTTATAAAGAAAATTACACTTAACAGTTTTCTAAAATTTGAAATAATTTAAGCGATGAGCAGAAAAACGAATTCATTAGAAAACCAAATAAGCTTCATTGTGACAATGTGCATTTAGCTTCATGCAAAAGTGGAAATTCTGCTTAAATCGTACATTCTCCAATATATCAAAACATATTCTTATTTTTTATTCTTATATTGGAATGTGGTTTTGCGTTAGAAATTTTACTTTTCAAATGTCCCAATTATTTATTGGATGGTTCTTAATGAATATTTTCAATGCATTTACACTAACTAGTACTTCCCATAGATTAACTAAGGTACTTCCTAATCTAATATATGCCTTAACCTGTAATATTCATCTAGAAGATGTTGCGAATGTACATCTATACATAAACGAAGGTTTGAGTTGCCCAATTAACCACCATTATGTCCATTTGCACCACCGTGTGAACTTAAACTTAAAGAAACAGTTAACTAAATGCTTTAGAAAGTTCCAACTTTCACAAGAGATTCAAGATGGTTTTGATAAGAATCGTATTCATTGAGTTCATGTGCAGTTTTCATATTGTATTCATTCAATTTACAATTTTTCAATTGGCAGTATTCAAAGTCGTTAAAGAGTTTATTTCCAAATTAATCAGAAGAGTATTTAATAGCATTGTGACCTTTTCAATGGTACAAATGTACCAATGAAAAAAATTCTAGATCAATAGTTTTATTTTTAAATTAAGCCGCGGCCACCGTAAGACGTTTTACCACAGCTTCAGATGTAATGTTACTACGATTATGATATAATATCTATACTAATTATGATATAATATCATGATATATGTATAAGGATTTAGGGCATGTGGACAGACGTAAAACAAGATTTAATGTATCAGCTATGGAATTTTGAAGTTTTCAGGCTCGGAACACGTAGTCCAGATAAGAAATATTAAGGTAACAATATAGATAAGGTTCGGGGTATTTTACAGCCTAATTGAAAAGGTCGACTAGGTTGAGGGAAGTACTGAAACAAAAAAATATAAATATGAGGAAGGGAATTACGAATGCAAAACAATGTAGTAATTCAAGAGAAACATATAGATTCAGAAGACATTAAAGCAATAAAAGATCAAATAACAGAAATTGAATCAAACTCAGCTAATTTGACTGTAGAAATTGAGGGACGTACAAAAACGAGACAAACCAAATACATAGAATGAAGAGAACTAAATAAAATGAGAGGAAAGAAATGCATAAAAGTTCACCCAAGTTAACAGAGTGAAATAACGAGATTGATTGTATGATTTACTTAACATAAGAAGAAAGACAAATTTAAGCCAGGTGCCATAAAGAAAGGCAATATAGCTTTGATAATACTTCAAAAAGTAATAATATATTTGTGTTCAGATGGAATCATACTGACGGGGACTTAAAATTGTACAAACTGCAAAGAACAAAAAGTTTGAAACAAGTTGAGAGAGATCACAGTGCTTGAAATGAAAAAAAAGATATTAAGAAGAGTTGTTAACAGCGGCAATGAGGGAAGTAAAAGGAACAATATTCATACCGGCGATTTTAATGACAGTATTGGAAAGAATTGCAAAAATATGTAAAAATTAGACGCAGTGGTGAGAACCTAAGCAATAACAATGGCATGATAAACAAAGCCTAGATGTTTGTACGAAAAATCATACTACACCATCATGTTTTGCGTAATATTTTGATTATTTCGAATGTAGCTGATTTTTAGCAGTAACTTCACCTGACACTGGTGTCCTCATTATCTGTTTTTATAGTCTAGCAATTGGCAATATTAACACCGCAAATAGCTCGACTAAAAATCACGGAAAAGAAGACCTTAGTTTTCCGGAATTATGATAAGTAAAGTTCTAGTGAAAGGTAAAAGAACATAATAACAATAGTTTGGTCTAAACATTACAACTCGAGCTCCTACTTGCCTTCGTTGGCAGCGTTGCACGTAGTCCAATAACTGCTTTAAAAGTAAATCCGGATCTTCAGGTCGGGCTGATGAATTCAACAGTAGGGCTCCTGTGGACATCAGTTTAAAGAACTAGGAATAGAACACAAAACACGATAAATTTGCTTTGTTTTAATATGGTTTGTCCGACGACATTTCGAACACGACACGATATTGAATTTGTACGGGTATTTAGGTCGATTTAAGAACTTTTGTTATTGCGAAATTTTAATAACTAGCGCACCATCGCATGCCAAATATTTTTAAAACAAATCAAAATTCTGGGTCCATGGATCCATGAGTGGGTGGTAACCGTGTGGCACACTGACGTTTGATTGGCTGTGTTTGTGTCGTATATTAAACAACAACATTAATCTGACGTATGGCAGCCAATCATCACAGAACACCACAGATTACAGTGGTTACTGAACAGAACTGTACTCTGTGATCTGTGCAGAACACCTCTTCTGTGATGGCTAAGCATGAGATTATCTGCACAAATGGGATGAAAATCCCCTTAGGGGGGATTGTTCTGTGATTATCTGGATATTTGCTTCCAACCATAAAACACATATAAAACGACATACAAAAGAAAAATTTTTGCATGACAAGGATGAAAAACATGCTCGTGGTCGTGAGTCACTTAATAAGAGTAGTATAGATAAAGACAAGTAGAGAGTGGTATGTGGATAAGCCTTTAGACATAAAAAGTTAGTTGGCTGCTTTCAAATAATTATTATATCTTTTTTGTAATATTGGTTGCTTAAACTTACATTTACTTTCAACAAATCATTATCGAAACGAGCTGATTTTCAGCACTACCTAATTTGTTTATGGCGTAATTTGACAACATCGCAATCCACAAAAAATATACAAGGAAATGTACATAGTGATTCCGTCATGTTGTGTGGTGGTATTTAGGCAATAGGGCAAAATTTATGAAAAACCATAAATCTCGCAAAACACGGATATATCCGCAAAAAACTGTGTCATAAATTTGGCAACGATGTATTTTATTCGTATCTGTAAATGAGGTTTCGGTTATTAACATTTCGTAGAAACTTGCGTAAATCAACAAATGAGATGGAAATACAAATTTACCGCTTTAAGCAGCTGAAAATGTTCAGAAATAAAAAGATATTGCAATTCAGAGAAAATTTTTCTAAAACTAGCCAATTTTCATATTACAGTCGATAAGATTACAGCATTTTTTATTACATAAGAAAATAATGAGTAAAATATCGAAGTTAGTTTTAATTTAATTTCCTAAACCTCGTTTGGACAATTTTTTGGTAGGCTCAACTTTCAATCTCATGCACATTTAAACTTTCCGCCGTTGCAGATTCCTGCAAACTTGTATTTATATGGATTGTCAATCCATATTCGTGATGCACCATTTCTTCCAGGCATTTCTCATCCGCCATGCAAACGTTGAGTTTGGTTCGCATTACGATCTAGTCTTTCGGTTGAAATTTACGGAAGTTATGTTGATGTGTGTTTCAGTATATGGGAAAATGTTTGCGAGGCATTTCAGCATCTTTTGAGGTGAGTTTTAAAGTTTCCTATGATTGATTAACTCTGACTGAAGGTGATTAATTGTTGTCTATTTTGAGTAATGATGTGGCCGTTGCTGCCGCCATTTTCTGTACTATTTGTCTTCGGAAAGCGTGTCCGCAAAGCTTTAATTAATCATGTAAATGATTCAGATCGGAATTGACTGTTTATCTAAATTTCTCTTCGGTGATTTCAGGCAAAAGATGTTCACAACAAGGTGTAATTGTATAATTCACTATTTAGTTGCCATTATGAAAAGCGTGTCTTCGCCAAATTATCCCGATTGTTTTCATTCGGTATTTTACTAAAACAGTCGCTTTTATGCATAACTGTTTGGTTCTGGATTTGATCATAACTATAACAGCATACTTTAAAGCAAAGAAATATGTGTTTCTGGAAAAAAAATGTGCTTAGATTAAGCTGCTCACTGAGTCTAGTAGTCTGCGGTACTTCAACAGCCTATTCTACACCGAAAACATTAAGAATATATCATGTATCTGTGGCCCAAAAATGTCAACTAGTGGTTCAAACAACAGATAATTAGAAGAAACTACGTATAAATGTTACTTGTCACAAGTGTAAGATTCCTAGGAAGGTTGTCCACCTTCTTAGGAACATCCTTGCTAGAAGAGGTACTTCTTCTAGGAACATTTAGGCGTGGACGTTACAAATCTGTCAAGTCGAATTTGCTTAAAAATATAAGTTTGAGGCGTGCTAGGAAACGTATTCCTACAATTAAAAACGTTTTTCAAATTGTCATGTAGTCTGATCTATCAATATTCACTGAGCTTTGTCAATTTGTCAATTGTCAATTTGTCAAAATCAATAGTTATCACTGCAAATCTCCTTTTAAACTAATTTCCAAGTCTGTTGATCCAGCATTGCTTCTAAAAGCGAAAATTTGACGTTGCTCTTCAAAAATAAACGTGTTCTATACCAGAAACAGATTAAATATTAATGTAAACTAATTAAAACCCCAAAAAACACTTCCAAATTATGTTTATTTCACGATCTGACGCCTGACAAGATATTTGTGAAGATTTTATGATCGAATCCATATGAAATTTGTTATTATTTGATGTCACTGCAATTTTCATTCTGAGGAATAAACATCTAAGTCTTATTCTATGGAACAGAGCGCAGAACAGCGAAATGAGCGACAAGAGTGACTATTCGATGTTAGAATCCAGTGACAATTTCAACATTTTCTTTTTCCCTTTCTCCTACAGAATGAATAACATGAAAGATAAAAATGAAAGAATAATTTGAAAACGGGTAAAATTTACTGAGATGATGCGACCCGTTCGTGTTCCAACTCATCCCATAAATCTGTTCTAGAACCATATTTCGGCCACTTACACATAAAAATAGTTCTCATTCTAATGTGCTAATCTCAAGCCCCGACAGAACCGGTATCGAGCCTATTAGATCTCGTCAGATGGGTTTAACATGAAAATTTTGCTGCACATTAAATGTTAGCATATCTGAAAATCTGCACTTGCTTACATCAGTTCTGAACTAGTTCGGAAGTTGTTCTTGAACTGTGGGAAAATCGTTGTTGACGCCAACTTATAGTTGAAGACGTCACATTTATTTCGCATTCTCCATAATGTCGACCATTATTGCGTAACTGTTTTACAACCCACTTGTATTACTGAATCTGAAATTAATTTACATTCAACAACATTCCAAAATATTATTTTAAAATAAAAATTTAATTGAAACTGAACTTTATTATTTAATGGACTTAAAAAAGTTTCTGGTCGAAACGAAAACTTTCAATTCTCTTCGCAAACACAATTTAATTGATTGAGGCGCTTGGCAATTGGCCTATAAAACTATGGTGTTATTTCTATCCTGGGTGCGACAGGTTGACTAGTTGTTGGAAAAGGGGCAGGGTGGGAAGGCGGCCCTGACTCGCGCCCACTCGTTGCGGCCGTTACGCTGACCTTGTTAATGTTGACCTTGGGTTATTTTGGTTGGAGTCCAACTTTCATGATGGCGAAAAAGAACGCCTGCAAAATCACATGATTGCGTTTTCTGGATAAGGACTGTTATTATTTTGTGGGGCAGCAAAGTTCCATTTCTGCACGAAAAATGTCCATTTAAATTCCGGGGTAGGAGAAGCGCTTTTTTAACCTGCACCTACATCTATATACTAGGTGTATGGAGTGGTGCCAGCAATTTTCTGAAGAACAATCAAGGATGAACAGGTTAACTCAAATTCAGTCCATAGTCCATACGTCTGGCGATTTGTTCAATTTTTAGTAGTGTGTGGGTCGTGACGGAAATGCCCCATTTTAACAATAACCAATGATGATCAAAGAAACACCCATTGTTAAGCCCCAGTATTGATTAAGTTTCAAGTTTTGAAATTCCTAAACCGTGTTGAAGGCCATCAACTCAGACTTTATCGGAATAAGATTTAGTTGCTTTTAGGAAAGCCGCAACTTTGCTGATACGTAGTAATAGCGCAAATATCAAAAACAGGTGTTGTTCTCGTGATCATACGTAATAATTCGAATTGATATATTTAGTAACCTCTGCTTAACCTTTGTTTATGGCGACCTTGGTGTGCATATTTTTGGTCGCTATTTTTAAGCTATTGGAAAATCTGATGATTAACCTTATGTTGATACCGCATGTGAAAAACCACGGAAAAAATCAATAGGGATAGGTCTTGAGACATGTTTTTCCGTGTGGGTGAAAGGACGGAAAACACTAGACGCAAGGTGTCGATAGACCGAGCTTGAAGTAGCTTAGAGATTTGAAGAAGGAAATTTTACTGATCAGTTTAGTTGGGTTCTATATTTTTCGCAATGATAACGCGATTCGGAGGATTTTTTTGATATAATAATCCGTTTACCCTCGAAACCCCAGTATCATTCAATTATTTGCTTAGCAGAATCAGAGGTCATTTGTATCAGTAAGCGAGTTTCTGCAAGTCATCTCAGATCCTTCAGTCTTCAGTTTGTTATGCCGGAGTAGGGACTATTTCGCTCTTAAAGGATAATTACGAGTGAACCTCACACATTCAAGAGGAGGATGTTTGCGAAACATTCATATGGTACTACCTAGGTATCATATAAATAAGAATTATCTGTCGGATGTCACTGAGTTGCAAAATATGCGACTCAGTGCCCAATTAATTATCAACCTTGGTGTCAACGACGGTCGATTTTAGTTGGCCGTAACAAATCCCCGTACGAAATAATTTGAATAAACGACGATGATTAGCTAATTATCCATTTTTATCAGTTTGACCATGAAACCGATTATTGTCGGAGAGGATTCTACGTTTCGCCCTTGAACCTAACCGTTGCCGACTAGCTATTTGTTATTCGCCTTTGTACCCACGTCATTCCAATGTCAATTTGATAAAGATTTTTAGATTGGTGTTTTTAAAGCCGATACTCCATTCGTATCAATAACAACAATAATTATGTCCTATTGTTTATATTCAATTGGAAACTAGATAATCGGGGTAAACACACTGCAGAACAGTCAATATGCAAGCGGAAATTTTCTCAAGTTTTAACCGCTTTGAATTGATTTAAACATTCGTTAATCTATAGAGGAGGGACACGTTCAAGTTAAATGAATGTCATCCTTGAATAAAATACGGTTTCCGTCAGATCTGGTGGCGTGTAGGAAATCATCAAAAGTAGGTATAGGTAGCTTAATCTTTCGCCATAGGTCAAGTATAACAGCACATTATAAAGAATTTAGTTAAGAATCAGTAATCTGTCCCAGTCAAGTAGGTTTAGGAAATGTCTATAAGTTGCTCAACAGATGTGTCACATTTAATCACTGAAATTCCAGTCATATCT